CCAAAGGGAAGAGTGGTCCGAGCTAATGAAAGCTTCCATTACCGATGCATCATCGTCTTCGGTTGACCAGAGATTTGTTGTGTTTGTTGAATTGTTGAGAGTGTGATCGGTTAAGTGAAGATCCGTCGGAGACATGAGTTTCTCCGGTGAGTTTTTTTCCGGTGAGAGACAGTAGAGAAAAGAAGACGATAAAGAGAACAAAAAGTAGCTCTAATTGCAAATTGGTGTGTGTCGTTTGGTGGATTGTTGCAGAAAAAGGAATCTGTTTATATAATAATATATTTTACATATATGTAAAATAGTTTGATTAATTAAAGAAAAAGTTGCTTTTTTTTTGTTTCATCGTATAGTTTTTATGTTTTTTAACAAGATTCATGAAGAGGATTTTAATATTGAACATGTTGGAATTAGTGATGAAAATTGTTTCTTTAGCTAATTTTAATGGAGTATTTTACATTTTTACTAAATATTTAGTTCGGTTTTTGGTCTCTACAATTTTTTGTTTTTAATTTTTTCTCAAAAATAAATAGATAAAATGTTTAATTTGTTTCTTATTTGCATGAAAATATGTTTAAACGACTTATCTTAAATCGGACGAAGTAATAAATGAGTGAGATTGAGCTAAATTTGTAACAAGGTAGTGGAAAATGAGCATTCATAGGAGTTTTTTTTTTAATATGATTTTGTCATATTTCCACTTGTCTTTTTTATATAATCGTGAAAATTAAGAACAAATCAAAGAATGAAATGATATTCCACTTAAAATAATTATGATTCGGATAATCTTGTCTCCCTTACTTTCGTTGGTTGGGTCAATGTCTACTTTTCATTGTGATTAATCCATCACTTAATTCTTCCAAGTAAAAAAATCAGTTCTATTATGTGAAATTTTTAATCACAATTATCTCTGAGATTTTGATACAACTTTTAAACTTTCTATAACTAATTTTAAAGCAAGACTTGTAGTTGTACTAATCAATTTAGAATACGTAAGACCGTACCTCTTATGTTATGAAGTGATTTTGATGAACATGTCGTTGTACTTGTAGTCTAGTGTTTCACTCTGTCATTTGAGATTGAGAACAAAAATCTATTTTATTCTAGTCATTTGCATAAGGATTCATTGCACAATAATTATTCTAAAATGATTGTAAAAAGAGACGTGATCTGAATGATTGCACAATAATCAACAAATCGGAATGATTTTACTACGTATTTTGTTTGTTAATTGAAATTGATATAACCTTTTTGCATTATAACAAACAAAAAAAAAGGACATGATCGATTGCGATATATCAAAAGGTGAAAGAGACGCGAGAGCATAAAGGCGAATAAAAGGTCTTGTATCAATTAGATTTTTTGATTTCATTTTATTGTTAAAAAATTTATGACCTCGTAAAATATCACATTATTATACAGTATATTGTTATATTATGTCGGGTGTTTTTGGCCAAATGAAATAATGCTTTCACTTTCAGTGAGAGCAAAGTGCCAAAAATGTTGGTTTCTTTGTTCATATCCGACAAAAATAATGTCCATTGTGCAGTGACAAAAATAAAATAAATGGGCTTTGATAATATTTTGACCTCACACATTGTAGCCCACTAATGTAATACTGGGCCACAAAGAAAAAAGTCACATTGTATTTTAGTCAAATTGAATACACATTTCAAGAAAAAACAAGATTTTACAAAATCTTCTCACACATAATCCTCACCTACCTTCTGAATCACGTATCTTCTTCCGTAGTGATGTTCTGACTTGAGCGTCAAAGAAAGTTTTCAAAATGACTCCCTCATCATATACTCAGCGGCCGTTATTTCTGATGATGGTCATAGTTAATGCAGATGATCACGAGGCTCTTTGTCAGAAAGATCCGAAATTTTGTTCGAACACTTATGTAATATAATTTATTTTGAAAGTTAAGAAGTGTAATATATGAATTGAGGTTGAAGTTTCAGTCTTTTCTGGATCTTCCATCTTACCGGTTTAGTTTTTCTATGATCGTTTTGGCATATTGAGGTAAAATTATTCGCCATAGAAAGAGCCGCTTATCGTTTTCTTGAGTCTATTTGGCATTCTCGAGATGCTTTTGCGGTTGTACCATCAAAGTTTAGGTTGTCTTCCTGTACCATCCATGTTGCTTCGGAAACGGAGTTACAAACTACGTGTCGTTTCTCACTCACCAATCTTTATGGCATTTTCGTAATTTCCAGAGTTTACACAGGGCCTTACCGTCACTTTATAGTCCAGATTAAATGTTTCCATCAATGTCACTCTGTTTTTTTTTCGATTTTACAGATTTG